GGCTCTGTTCCTCTTCAGTGAGGGAAGGGGCCGTGGAGCCAGGGAGGGCCCGAGGGCGGCCGGCACATGGCAGGCCCTCCACAAGGACAGGCAGGCACCAGGAGATTGGGTGAAAGGCGGTGTCGGCTGCAGTTTGCCCTGGTGTTATTGACAGGCACTGGAACTGGGGTACGTGCCTTCACGATGTGCAGTGTTCAGACGAGGGGTCAGGAGGGCAGTGTCCACGTTCTTGCCCGTGAAAGGACAGGCTCCGCCTCCAGCACCCACGGCCCGGGCTGGCCCTTGCCGGCCTCACTGTTCAGTCATTCAGACCCTGCTGTCCTGCTGCAGGTGGCAGACTCTTGGTGACGCTCACACCAGGCATAGCACCTAACTGGGGAACACGTGCTGTGTGCGCCCCACTTGCCCAGCACGACTAGGTGGTGTTCGTCACGTCTCAAGAAAAGTGCAGAAGCCGCCCAAGGACCCCAGTGTCAGGCCTCGGCCCTCTCTTCTGCTCCACGTGACCCCAGTGCTGTCTTCCTGCTGGGGGCTGTGCTGCCACCCTCGGCTGGTGAGGGACCCGGGGCAGAGCCACGGCCTGGTGACCGAGTCGCAGGGGCCTGTTTACTGAGCCTTTGGGGCTCTGCTCGACCCAGTTATGTGGGGTTTTTCTCAGTTTACCATTTTCAAAAGTTTTTGTGCGCAGATATTTCTAGGATGGTTTTTCATAGGCTTAGCCAAAAGTAAAAACGTAATTTTCACCCGTTAAAAATAAGGGATTATTATTTTTAATTACTGGCTGAGAAGATGGGTTATGACCATGGGAGTGTGGGGAGCAGAGCTCAGTTCTGCCTGCACCCCGGAAACGCCAGGGTCTTCGGCTGACAGACGCGGGGACAAAAGCAGTGACTGGGTGCCCTCTGGGGTGGCAGGTACTCCCCAGGCCCCAGGCCTAGTGTGGTTTGTGCTGCTTCTCCCAAGGTCTAAGCTATTTTTGTGCTCCCTCCCCTGCCCCACGTTTAGGGGTCGCTCCTGCAGGGGGCGCCCTCCTACACCGTCCGGTGGCTGTGGGTTTGCAGTCAGTGTGTGACACCTGCGCCGAGCCCCTAGTAATGCGTTTTCCCTTCTCACAGCGGACAGGGAGTCGTGAAACTGGACGTCCAGCCCAAGTGCCTGGCTGTCGGCCCTGGAGGATACACGGTGGTGGTCTGCATCGGGCAGGTACGGCCCTCGTTCTCACCGAGTACCATCTGTGCTGGGACTTTGCGCACACTCAGGCCGCGTCCCATCAGCTACGCGTGGCGGCCCCTCCCCCAGGAGGAAGCGGGCATGCAGGGGGCAAGCTGCCAGCCAAGGGCAGAGCTGGGGTTCGAACCGGGCGTCAGGCCACCTGTGTGTCCGCAGGCGTCAGACACAGCAGGAGCCTTGGGCCTTCGCTCATGGTCACACCCCAGCCGTGCAGAGCTGGAGCCGTGGCCACCTCTCCCTCCGGGCCGCCCTTCTCTCCCCTGACCGCTCACGGGAGGGTCACGAGGAAGAACACGTCGAACTCGTCCTGGCTCTCTAGTGCGAGCAGCTTCTGGGGTCCGGGCTGCCCCATCAGTCTGCTTAGAGGGGGTGCTCGGCTGCTGGGGCTCTGATTAGACCCCTGTCCTTGGCCTGGTGGGCGTTAGGTGCCTTGGAGGGAGGAGCCGTGTGCCTGGGACTTGCCAGGTGGTCAGTTAATGGGAAAACCTGCCGAGACCTGATAGGTGTTTCAGGCCCGTTGGGCTGCGGGGTCTTGGCACACAGCAGCTGGTTGGGGGCCTCCTGCTTCTCCTTCACACCCAGGCGTAATCAGTAGAGTGTGGCAGGTCACAGGCAGGCTGGCACGTCCTCAACTCACCCTGCCCCGTCTGTCTTCTCTGCAGGGTCACAGCAAATCAATCCAGTGCCTGACGGTGCATAGAAACGGTGGCAAGTCCTACATCTACTCCGGGAGCCACGACGGGCACATTAATATCCTTTGACTCCCAAAGCTGGCTTCAGGCCACTGGCAGGAGAGCCGGGGCTCCCTTTCCCACGGGCTGGAGGGGCGGCCAGCCGGCTGGCGGAGCCACTGCAGCAGCCACGGCTGCCGAGATGGGCCCATGTCCATGCCCTGGCCACGCCCTTGACCTGGCGGGTTACTTCTCACTGCACAGCCTTGAGTGGTTGCTGAACTTCCTGACCTTGAACTGTTGCTTCTCCCTGGTGACACTGGTGCTGGCTCTGTTCCTCTCACAAGCCGTAGAATCGTTGGCTCTTGGATTCAGAGGGACTTGGACCCTTTTATTTCATTTTGTTTTTAGGTGAGGCAGCCTTTGGTGGATCTCACAGATTGCAAGGACCTTGTCAGCTTACAACCCTTATTTTTTTATTTTTTACGCTTACAGCACTCGGTCTTCCTAGGTGGTCTCTCATCCAAGTACTAACCAGGCCCGACCCTGCTTAGCTTCCGAGATCAGACAGCATCGGGCTTGTTCAGGGTGGCGTGGCCGTAGACTGGACTTGGACCCTTTTAGTGGAACCCCCTTGTTTTGAAAATAGGAAACAAGCTCAGATGGTTCGGGCACCTTCCCCAGGTCACAGGGCTCGTCGGTAGTAGGGTGGGGACTAGCACCCAAATCTTCCTCCTGGTCAGGTCCTTTGCAGTCCCTGAGACGGTCCCTGGAGGCTTGTGTGGCAGCCCCTCCCCCTGCCCCCCGTGCGTGGTCCAGGGCTGATAACCCCACTTCCTAGGACTGTCTTAAACAGTGGAGCAGCGTCCGTAGGGTCTCGGCACTGGTGCCCACACAGGGCCTGGCTCCCAGCGGGGCGTTCAGCTGCCTCTGTGTACGCTGCTTCCTGGTCCCCGTGCTGCTGGACCTTCTGGAAGGATCTGTGTGGGAACTCCCCGTTTCTCACACCTTCACAGGCCTGCCTTGTCTCTGTGGGGCCTCTCCGTTTCCAGGAGACCCAGGTCTCCCCATGGGCCTGAGAGGAGGGCACGTGAGTCGCCCTCCGCCCCGTGAAGCGTGAGGAGACGTAGGGCATAGTCGGGAGACAAGGCCCCAGGCTGCCTCTCCTGGAGGGGCAGGCGCGCCCGTCCACCCACACGGGCTGCAGCTGGCCTGCATTGCTCCTTCCCCGGCTGTGCCCAACCCCAGCGTCCGTGCACGGGGACGGTAACCTCCAACACCCCACACACCCTTCGGTGTCAGTGGCCGGGGTCCCCAGTGTGATGTGACGCCAGTGGGATGCAGTGACCTCAAGGGGACAGCAACCTGCACTGGAAATGAGATTATTCACTGATGCAGAGGAAGAATCTCTTAGCTTTGAACATACTTCACACCCAGGCGCCTGGAGCACATGCCGGCCCCCCCAAGATGGGTCAGCCCGGGCGGCATCACCTGGTGGGACCTGGGAGCCGGCCACTGGCTGAGTGGCAAGGCATAGCCAGCCTCCTGCTCCCAGTCATGGGCTCCTCGGCAGGGTCCAGAAAGAGTCCGGGCAGTGTTGGCCCAGTTGCACAGCGACTCCTGCAGGCTCTCTGGGGTGCCGGTCCATCACCGCTCGGCCCACCACCCCAGGCTGCGGTCTGTCTGCCTCGTGAGCTACGCAGCCTGCGATCTGCTTAGTTGGACTGTGGGCACACCGGGTTCTAATCAGCCCACTGCCTTGGATGTGCACAGGGAGTTCGCCTCGCGCCCAGCGCTTGCTGTCCTGTCCCTCACGTGCCGCCCAGGACGGGGAGGGCCCACGGGCTCCCTGGGGGGCGCACAGCACGTCCCAGAGGCCTGGCTTTCCTTGACTGCTCCCCACATTACTGGGATTCCGAGACGGGGGAGAACGACTCCTTCGCTGGGAAGGGCCACACGAACCAGGTGTCCAGGATGACAGTGGACGAGTCCGGGCAGCTGGTGAGCTGCAGCATGGACGACACGGTGCGCTACACCAGCGTCACCCTGCGGGACTACAGGTGAGCGGGCGGGGCGGGGTCCCGCGGGCATCGCCACGACCGCTGCAGACAGCATGTTCTCTGCTCCTCTCCCTCCGGCCCTGAGCTCGGCGACACAGCGACGTGCTCTTTTCTTGCTGAGTTAGAGTCCGGGTGACTAGCAGAGACGTGACCGAGTGTAGACGGCCTGGGAAGCCAGGCAGAATGGGTCTCACCTGCAGCCCCGCCCGGCTCTGTTCCTCTTCAGTGAGGGAAGGGGGCAGTGGAGCCACGGAGGGCCCAAGGGCGGCCGGCACCAGGAGATTGGGTGAAAGGCAGTGTCGGCTGCAGTTTGCCCTGGTGTCATTGACGGGCACTGGCACTGGGATACGTGCCTTCACGATGTGCAGTGTTCAGACAAGGGGTCAGGAGGGCAGTGTCCACGTTCCTCCCTGTGAAAGGACAGGCTCCGCCTCCAGCACCCACGGCCCGGGCTGGCCCTTGCCGGCCTCACTGTTCAGTCATTCAGACCCTGCTGTCCTGCTGCAGGTGGCAGACTCTTGGTGACGCTCACACCAGGCATAGCACCTAACTGGGGAACACGTGCTGTGTGCGCCCCACTTGCCCAGCACGACTAGGTGGTGTTCGTCACGTCTCAAGAAAAGTGCAGAAGCCGCCCAAGGACCCCAGTGTCAGGCCTCGGCCCTCTCTTCTGCTCCACGTGACCCCAGTGCTGTCTTCCTGCTGGGGGCTGTGCTGCCACCCTCGGCTGGTGAGGGACCCGGGGCAGAGCCACGGCCTGGTGACCGAGTCGCAGGGGCCTGTTTACTGAGCCTTTGGGGCTCTGCTCGACCCAGTTATGTGGGGTTTTTCTCAGTTTACCATTTTCAAAAGTTTTTGTGCGCAGATATTTCTAGGATGGTTTTTCATAGGCTTAGCCAAAAGTAAAAACGTAATTTTCACCCGTTAAAAATAAGGGCTTCTTAT